GCGGCTGCCCCACGGCCCCCAGGGTGGCCAGGCGGAGAGGCAGGGGGCTGACATTCACCAGGTGGTGCCAGGCAGTCTTGATCCATTGGTGGCAGTCTTGCAGCAGCAAGTCCAGAAAGTGCACCAGAAGGTGCAGGGCAAGCTGTGGCTCCATGTTGCCACCTGCGGCAGCATCCCCAAAGGGAAGCACCGACACACACGGGCGCAGAGATCAACGCTTTGCTGTCCCTCGGCGAGGTTGGCAAGCAAGCAGGAAAAGCTGAGAACCAGCTGTCCGGGGGGGTCCCTTTAAGCACGAGCCTCAGATAGCCTCAGACAGCAGCCACACAAAGCAACTACTGACCTGATGCCCTGCCAGAACTAGTTTCAGCTGCCCTTAAATGCGCCCCTGCGTCCAATCAGTGTGGACGCACTAGTTTGAATTAGCAAAACGCTAATTCGAACTAGTTTTTAGTTCTAGATGCGTTAGTTCGAATTAGCTTAGTTCGAATTAACTAATTCAAACCAAGTTAGTTCGAATTAACGTTGTAGTGTAGACGTACCCTCTGTGTCTCCATAAGGGTAGTCAATTTTGTGCACTTCCCTCCATTATCTAGAACAGTCTCCATTCCTATCTACACCTAACAAACATTCTGATTCTCATTTACATTCCACTGCAAAATTGGCACTGAATGAAATATTTTTTGTACCTACAGCAAAGCAGCTGGATTTTTGGCCTTTTACCAGTTCCATATTGGCTAGGAAGATCTTTGTTTTTTTGCCAGAGATGTTTGCATTATTTTGTAGTAGTGAAAATAATGTTGTCAGTCTTTATGGAATAGAATTTTTTAACAACTATAGTACCTAGAAGGTTGAATGCATTCTACACTGGCTGTGATCCTGTCAGATTTACAGGCAAAACAGAGCAATGCCAACTCTTTGACTGAATGGGAAACCTTTGAGGAAAACCCAGTTTACTGCAGTGCCTAAAGATGGTGCTAGGGGCCCTTATGCTTATGTCCTTGGGAGATAGAAAAACAGGGTTCTGACCATTATAGGTGCCTTAAGATCCTATAGGTATTTTTCATAAGGGAAAAGCTGTTAACTTAGCTGGCTAGACCAAATTCCAACTCGCTTCATTACATTCTGCCTTTCTAAATTGCCCTACAATTCAGTAGGCTATATTATTCTTCTTTACTAGCTGTTCTCAAAGAGTATTGCTATATGCTTTCAACAGCTGCTGACTTAAATGATTAAATGATTCTTGAATTTCATTTCTATAAAGGTTTGGAAAGTATTTTGGGATGAAAAGCCATATATGTTAATATAAAGTGCAATTATAATAATGAGAGGGGAAAAAAGATGCATTAGAACATGTTGTCCATGCTCTGAAAGTGCAAAATATGTCCCCAAACAAAGAACGTTTTTGGTGTTAACTGTTTCACTCCCAAACTGCCACTGCCTTTAGATGCTCTTAAGAATTTTGTAATTAAACTGGTAACACATTTAATATTAGGCAAAGTAGGCATGATAGATAGAAGGGGTACTGCTCTTTTCTAAACATCCCAGCCATTCAATTAATTAAACTGACTGTAAAGGGTTAAACCTAGAAAGATTGAGCATTCTGGAAGTGTTGACAGGGAACCAGGAGAGCGAATAGGAAGAGTGATAGATTTTTGTATCAAAACCAGATTCTGCCTGCTTTAGTTTTTTGTGTGAGTTCAGAGCAAGAGCTGAGGGATTGGGGATGGACTGAGCCAAGAACCAGGCATGGAATTTTCAGCAATATCCATGTCTAGAAAGGGCAGAACCTTGGAACAACAGATGTGAGTAAAATGGGGAATGTTTAGTTAGACACTACCAGGTTATTTTCTTTTTGGGGGGCAGGAGAGTTAGTTAAACTCCTCTGCGCTGAGCCTATGTCCCTCCTTCCCCATACTCTGTATCTGAAAATGAATCCCAGGGAAGTAATTCTCTGTGCTTTTAATCTGCTTTTTTTCAGTTGCTCTGTAACACCTGACAACCAAATATACTTTACCAAGTATGTCGTCTCTGTTTTGTTAATAAAATCACCTTTTTATGACTTTAATCTGATTCCTGTGTCCAAGAAAGCAGGTGCACATGCCTGAGGCTGAAGGTCGACTATTAGGAATTGCAGTTTGTTTTCAAGATCTTTCCTGAGGAAGGGTTAAAGAGGTTGGGGTTACCCTTCAGGAAGAAATTCCCAAGTGCATCTTCCTGGGCTCTCAAAGGCTTTTTGCATTTGGACGGTGGCAGCACATGTCCCAAGTTCAGGACCCTGGGTAGATTTATTAAGCATAAGCCTTTAATGGCAGGATATTTTAATGTGTCCTCAAGCCCCCACCTTCTGCACTCGAAGTGCCAGGGTGGGTAAGAGCCTTCACAGTAGCTATTTGGGAGCTATCATTTATCCTAGCATGAATCCACAGTAACTCCATTGATTTCATTGGAGTTGCTCTGATTTTAAATTATGTAAATAGGAGCAGAATTAGCCTTTAATAAACCAAAACTATTTTAGATGTATTTTATTCCAGGATTATGAGTGCTTCAGGGTTAGGTGCCCTGGAGTTTCTTCACCTTGTGCCAGGAGAGGTTGCGGGTGAAAACTTCTGCACAGAGAAATGGAAGAGATTGGCTTAACTCTTCTCAATATCCTTCCTTTGTCCCTGACCTCTGACTCCTATTTTCTTCTATAATACAAAATATAATATTATTCTTTGAGCACCACTCCTCATGGAGTGAATATAGACCTAACTGTATTGATTTTGATATTATTGGTACCAATTTAAAGCAGCTGGGGATCTGGCTTTCATAGCTGAATCCCTACATTCCCCACATTATATCTCCCTGAACTCACATGCTACATTATCAGATGTTACTTGCATGGAACACAGTGATCTACATGCTTGGCTTTGCACATATAGCACAAAATTGTACTGTCAGGTTATGAGAGGGTGAAAATTTGGATGGCTCTGAGCATGAAGTGGCCATATTTATTATTTATTCTGGAACTTAGGACCTTAATATTTACACACTGAGTAGTACCGTGTCATACACTAAACATAGGTCAAAGTTGTCACTGAGGTAAGCCATTTAGGTCAATGGACTTAGTTGAGGGAATAAATCTGTCTAGTTCCTGTCAGAACAACATGAAAGCATGAAGAATATTGGCTCACTAGCCTTATAAGTCTAATTCCTGGCTATTTGTAGGACTTCTGGTAATGATGAGGCTACCAAGAAGAGGGGATTTACAGAGATTAAAATATCACTTTTGTAATCCAGAGCTTCTATCCTATGTAAAATCAAGCTGTGTATGGGGCTTTCACAGTTACATTGAGCAAGACTAATGGACTAAACACTGTGATGGTCAGCACTATAGAAAGCTCAAAAATAAGCAGTGTTCTTATGCATCTGTTTCCTAGTGTTCAGGGCCTATGGGAGAAGTTGAAAAGGAGAAGAGGATGAAGAAAATATGTTATAGAACCTGCACGACTGAGCAAGGAATGCTGATTCCAGGAGGGAAAAACCCTCAACCAATGTGAAGGTATATGAACAAGCAACACTATGCTTTAAGCAACCTCATCTTTTGTGGCAGATGAGAAAAGCCAACACTGACCTCACAGGCATTATAGGTATCAAGTTTTTACTAGGATAGTGATTATAGTGGGATTTTTACAAGGAGAGTCTTTATATGGCATATATTTAGAGAGAGAGAGAATGTGTATATGTACTGTGCATGACCCTGATCACTGGTAGTCCAGTTTACCACATAGACCAGTGGTTCTATGTACCCTTTGGATACATAGAAGTCTTCCAGGGGAGTGCATCAACTATTCTAGGGTATGTCTACACTACCACCCTAGTTCGAACTAGGGTGGTTAATGTAGTCAATCGAAAATTTGCATCTTGCCGGGCGCCGCCATTTTTAAATCCCCGGTAGTTCGGACTCCGTGTCCGCAGCTACACGCGGCATGGAGTAGGTAGTTCGAATTAGGCTTTCTAATTCGAACTACCGTTACTCCTTTCTAATTCGAATTACCTACTCCATGCCATGTGTAGCCGCGGGCACGGAGTCCAAACTACCGGGGATTTAAAAATGGTGGTGCCCGGCAAGATGCAAATGAAGCCCAGGATATTTAAATCCCGGGCTTCATTTGCAACTTCAATTGACTACATTAACCACCCTAGTTCGAACTAGGGTGGCAGTGTAGCCATACCCCTAGATATTTGCCTATTTTTAAAATAGGCTATATAAAAAGCACCAGTGAAGTCAGTTTACTGACTCTTTACTCTGCTCTATAAACTGTACCCTGAAATGTAGGTACAATATTTATATTCCAAACAGTTAATTTTATAATTATATGGTAAAAATGAGAATGTGAGCAATTTTTCAGTAATAATGTGCTGTGACACATTTGTATTTTTGTCTGATTGTGTACACATTGGGTTTTAAGTGAGGGAAAACTTGGGGTACACAAGACAAATCAGACCCTTGAAAGGGGTACAGTAGTCTGGAGAAATGAAGAACCAAAGCCATAGACAACAGAATCTTCCTGAAAGAGAAAGACGCCAGAAAGACACATTACTCCACATTTTAGCCACTGGTGCTTGAACACTTTGACGCATTAGACAAAAATAAGTGTAGCTTCCATCTGAGTAATCAAAGGAAAAGACTGATCCTGCAGTTAAATCACAATTAGTACCTTCTATGAAAATGCACAATCATTATGAATTAAATTGTCCATATTTGGAATGTCCATCCCATGGAAATTCAGACATTTAAACATTTGTTTTTGTCCCAAGTTGGAATGAAAAATGGAAATGTAAAGAAAATTTAAATTTCACAGAAGGGCCATGTGAAAAAGATGTATCTAGAAATGTTGAAAAATCATAAATAGATAGGGCAGGAAGCATGGGTGGCACCATTCCGAGTGTCTCCCCCAGTTTCCTGAGGCTGCCTGCATTTCAGCCCTGTCAAGGCTGGGCAGAGTGGCCAGACCTCCAAGGGCCTAGGATGTACCTGCACTACGGGGCCAGAGAGGACCATCCACTGTGTTCTGCTCACCCTACAGGGCTGGGGATGTCTCTTGCCCTTCCGATGCTACAGTGAAGTCCTGTCCCTGCCGTATGGGGGCAGTTCCCACAAGGGGTCTGGGCAGAAGGGTTAGGGCCTCAGGCAGCAGTATGGGTTTAGGGGCTTGCCTCCTCTAGACCGAGGTTCACCCACCACCCATTGCTGGAAAAGACCTCAAGAGATCACCTATCCAGCCTCCTCTCTAAGGCAGGATTAGGTATAACTAGAAGCTTTTCAGGCCTACAGAGATGTGTTTTCCACAAGCTCCATGGGTAATCTATTCCATCCTTACAGGGAGAAAGATTTTCCTTATATAGGGTATGTCTAGACTACACCTCTCTGTCGACAGAAAGATTTAGATTATGCATGACGAAATTGTTAATGAAGCCGGGTTTTGAATATCCCGTGCCTCATTAGCATAAAGATGGCCACCGCTTTTTTTTGAAATGGAGTTTTTTTGAAAAAAATGGCAGTCTAGACGCGGATCTGTCAAAAATAAAGCCTTTTTCGACAGATTCTGTAAATCTAATTTTTTGACGAATACAGGATCTGTCGAAAAAGGCTTTATTTTCGACAGATCCGCATCTAGACTACTGGTTTTTTGAAAAAACTCCATTAAAAATAAAGCGGCAGCCATGTTTATGCTAATGAGGCACAGGATATTTAAATCCTGGCTTCATTAGCAAGTTCGACATGCTTGATTTGCATCCCTCTGTTGACAGAGGGATGCAGTCTAGCCGTAGCCATAGTGTAGTAGTAAATCTTCCTTGTTGCAAATTAAGCCAGTTACTTCTTGTCTAACACTCAGTGGACATGAAGAACAACTGATAGCTATCCTCTTGGTGACAACGTTTTACATATTCAAAGTTTTTAAATCATGATTTGAGGGTGGCAGTAACTCAGCCAGATGTTAAGGGGTCTATTACTGGAGTGGGAAGGCAAGGTTTTGAGGCCTGTGATATGCAGGACGACAGACTAAATAGTCACTGTGGTCCTTTTGGCCTTAAAGTCTACATCTCCCACCAGTCTTCTCTGGCTTAGACATATCCAGTTCTTTCTTCTTAGATCATGTTTCCTAAACCTCTTTTATTGCTCTTTTCTGAACTCTCTCCAGTTTGTTCACATCTTTCCCAAAGTCTGGTGCCCAAAACTGGACACCATACTTCAGCTGAGATCTCCCCAGTACTGATTACAGTGGGACAATTACCTCCTGTGTCTTACATAGAAAACTCCTGTTAATACATTTCAGAAATACATTTACCTTTTTTTTCAGGATCATCACATTGTTGACTCATGTTCAATCTGTGACCCTTACAGACTCCCCAGATCCTTTTCTGCATTGCTGCTGGCTCACCAGTTAGTCCCCATTTTGTATTTTTGCATTTGATTTTCACTTTCTAGAGTGTTGTAATTTGCACTTGACTTTATTGAGTTTTATCTTGTTGATTTCAAACCACTTCTCATATTTATCAAAGGTGCTCTGAACTCTACTCCAGTCCTCCAAAGTGCTAGCAATCCCTCCCAGTTTGGTGTCACCCACAAATTTTGTAAATGTATTTTGTAAGTTTCATTAACAGAGTCATTAATGAAAATACTTACTAGTACCAGATGCAGGATAGACTTCTGCAGTATTCCACTTGCTATGGCCTCCCAGTGAACCACCGATACCTAGTCTTGGACCACAGTTTTGCAACCACTTGTTCATTCATCTTATTGTAATTTGGTGTTACTGCTTCATAATTTTCTTTGCATTTTGTTTCAATTACATTTAGTTTTGGTATTTTCTATCAAAAAGACTTTTTTCAACATTCTCCAAAATAACATATTATATTTCAGTGTATTGACTGACCCGTACTGTTTTGTTTCAAGTCTGTCTGTTATTTAACTGTGTTTTTCTATAATGGTGCTTTGATTGAAGAGGCTTTTATTTTCAGAACGTGATGTCCCCATTCTTTGATATCTCAAGGCTGTCAAGGCTGACACTTTTTCAGTTGTTGTGGTGGGGTAAATTTTTGGGAGCAAAAGATAGCTTTGTGCCTTCAAAAAAACTTCAAAAACCTGAAAACAAATTTCATGCTTTCAATGCTGTAAAGGAACTCATACTCTGAGGTATTTATCTTATTCCCATTGGTTTCAAGTCAATAGTTTGACTCAGTGGAACTTGAGAGTGGCAAAAAAGAGGAAAGATGGTCTTATGTTTAATGCACTGGATTAGCATTGATTCCAAGCTGGTTCATATACTTCCAATGTGATTTGTAGTCTCTGGTGCTGTTTCTCACCTGTAAGATATTTCACTAATGTCATGAATTTACATTCATTAATGTTTGTGAAATACTAAAGCAGTGGAGGTCATATGCATGTATGGACAAATAGATAAAACCTTTCAGGAAGTATTTGTCACCTGACAGGATTGGAACTAACATTTACAAACTATTGGCAAGTTCACAATATGTGGAGAAAATTCACTTTTTTTTACATGCAGTAAAATAGTTACGAAATCTGTTTTGCAGCATGCATTTGGCAAAAACAAAATGAAAGATCCCAGCTATTTTTCTTTGCCTTCCAGTAAGAGACTCGAAGACTAAACACTGCATTGTGACTAAGGCAACTTTATGACACATTCCCACCCAACCACTGAAATGGGACTTATAAACCCCATACTAAGCACAGACAGAAGAGAGAGGAGAGTCTTCTCTGCTTACAGGCAACCAGGTTGATCACAGTCAGCACAGCTGCCAAGTTATGGAGGCCTGCACCCACAGCTAGGAACTATTAGGAAAACAAACTCCCTATATAGGAAGGAAAACAGAGAGAGGAGAGGAGGCAGAAAGGCCCAAGATAGCAGGGGGCAACTGCCCCCTACCAAGCTACCTCCAAGAAACTGATAGTGTGGCAAAGGAAGACTACAAACCCTGGTGGTTAAGATCTGGCTCACTTACGTTAAGTTGATGGGCTGGACTAATTTGAGACAAATCAAGGCAGCCCAGTTAGGAGGAAGCTGGGAGCTTCAGAGAAACTGCCCCATGAGCAGTTGACAGTGTGGTATAGAAATGGGGCTGACTTTAAATGTCCCCACAGGAAAGAGAAGCTCAGAAACAAAGAAAGAATTTTGATTTTGTTGTTACATATGCAAGAGAGCTATGAAAGTGACTCATCTCCTGCAATGGCTGGCTGACTCTCAAGCACAGCAACAACTGTTTGAACAGATGGCATCACACCAGCAACAATTGCTATAACAGATGGCAGACCTCATACTGGCTGCTATTCCTCAGGGCCCCACCATCACAGGGAAAGTAGCCCCTGCACTTCAGGCAACTACTCTCACCACCCAGAAGCTTCCAAAGAGGAAGACACAATGACCTAAAGTCCTTCTCTGTAATTTTAAAAAGTGACCCAGGCCTTTTGGTAGCAATCCT